TGCACCCGGGGCTTGCAGGGCTGAGAACTGGGAATTAGTTCCACTTTCTGCTAAAAATGCCTTTTTATTTGGTTAGTCTAACAGGCTGCATTATTATTTACCACATGTGAATCTCCTCAAACTGATTAGAGCTGGCATTTCCAGCCATGAGATGAGATCTGGAAAGAGGTAATAAGGAAAAATTATTTCACAAGATTTTGCACTTTAGATTTGCAGGGAGGATCAATTAAATTTAAAATTTAAGGGCCAGACTCAACCCTAAATCTCCTTTAAGAAAAAGGAAATAGTTAATTCCCTTATTTGTTTTAATTCTTGCTCAGCAAAACCCAAGGAAGTTTAAGATACTGCTGGTTTTGAGTGGTGCTTTTGGATATGACTGGAAGGCAACAGTGAATGCTTGAAAAACATCCTGTTAACACTTTACTATCTTTAAACCCTGAAAAATTATGGATGTCTACATGGCTATAGAATTGCTGGAGAAGTAATTGTTTCTGGATCACCCAAGGAAACTTGTTAACTATTTTCCTGGATATTTTCTTGAGTATATGGATTTTTATTTACTGATTTCTTCCAGGGACCAAATGGTGCTGAGTGCCAGACATTTATAAAGCACAATCTCTATTTCAAATAAAAAGTGGCCAAAATGGTCAGTTAGGCTGTGGAAAGCCTATTTTTCAGAGATAGAGAGAAAGAGAGAAGAGGAGAGTCTTGCAATGAGTTCATTCCCCCAGCAGCTAAGTGGACATTGTTATTTTTTGTAAAACGGGTGTGGAAAGGTTAAGGACCAAATATGGATGTGATTTTTTCTGAGGTTCAGGTATTTTATAGGGTTGAATACACCTTAAAGCCTCCTTCACATGAACCTGTAAATGAGAACCTCTCCATAAAACCTTGCTTACGCCTGCAGAAGTGTAATGTTTAGCTCTCCACGAGTAATAGTATTGAAAGCTTTCCTAGGCAGGGGTCAGGCCCATTTTATTGTAAGTGCAGATCCATTCAAAGTGCAAAAGGACTGAGCTAAAGGACATCTCGATATTACAGGGCTGTTCCTCCAGCTCCAGCCTAAACGACCTGAGCAGGGCTGGGGGTCGTTGCCCCAGGGAAAGATCAAACTCACAAAATGACTCAAAAATGGGGAGGGGGCAGCTCTGCAGGCTTGATTCCTCTGCTCATCTCGGGCTGAAATGAGATATTGACTCCATGGGCTAACATTGGAGCCATTCATCCACACGAGACGGGTGTCTGCTGGCAAAAATTCCCCTCCAAATGGGAAGAAAAAGATGTTTCCATTATAAAATGATTGTGACCACTCAGCTGCAGTATTTTGCCCTCAGCCTCAAATGCATTTCTTGCATTCCTGCATCAGCACACCACCTTAGCGGCCCTTCACGTGCAGCACCACAGCAATTCATCATTACCCAGTCTCCAAATTATTCTAGTGTTGATTAAATTAGTAAATGCAATCACAATCTGAAGCAAGTTAATTGAGAGAATTTATTTGGCCCTGACAGTTTTATGCATGTTTGATTAAGTATTATAAGGTTTGTTTTTGATTTTGCATAATTTAACTTTAAATCCTGCACGGGGTGGGGGAGGGAGCATCAACTATTAATGACCAAAATAAACCCTTTTAAGACACATATATTTATGATTTATTTCTAAAGGCAGTATCTTCCAGATTTTTTTTGTTCTGTTGCCAAAGTGACAAATATGTTTAAAGCAATATTTTGAGCCGTCCGCTTCTCGCTATAAATCTTGCGAAATGTGCACAATTCATTAAAAGTTTTGAAAGAAGTACAAGTTAGCATTTATATTGCAACAAGTGACATATAAATGTGTATGTTTGTCTTCAGAGCGGGCCATAAAACATCCGAGGCCTCGCCGGCCGCGCTGACGGGGACTGATGGCCCGCTCTCGGGGCCGATGATGAGTTTCATCACAAATCTTCGACGCTGTCAGCACAAAACTGTTCAATCAACAGGAATATGAGTTGTGTCTTTAGTAAAATTAGCACGGGGAAGAAATACAGCCCCGAGGGCTGTGGGCGGGTTCCCTGCGGGCTCTGCTTGGAGCCTTCCTTTGGGATCTGAGCTCTCTGAATGTCAAAGCTTCCATCGCTGCCTGACCCCGGGGCACCTCCTTCTTTATGGAGCATTTCAGCAGCAGAGAGGTCAGAACGTGCCAGGCAGAAAATTGAACGGGGCTCTGCTGAATTTTGTCACAGAATCAGGGAATGGTTTGGGTTGGAAGGGACTTCAAACCTCATCTCATTCCATCCCTTGCCAGGGGCAGGGATGCCTTCCACGAGATCTTGAGCTGAAGGTCACCTTGACCTAAAAAATGAGAAGGACCAGCCTTGGCAGTGGTGCACACCTGGTTTTGGGTTGTGGGGTCACTCACTGGAACTCCCTGGGGTTTTCTGGAGGGTAGGAAAGACCTTTCCCACCCAGGAGGACGCCAGGAGCCCCCACTGCCACTCTGCCATTCAGCAGCACCCTCGTGATTCCCCGAGGCAAGACTGGAAATGCAAAGTACCTCCATCATTTTATTATTTGAGCTGAAATTCCCATCTCTGGGTTATGGCTCCAGTCCCAAAGAAAGGCAGAGGGAAATAAATGGAATGTGGGTGGCTCTCCTGCTGATCCAAGTCACCAAACAGCTGTTCCCAGTTCCAAGCTACTGGGGAAATTCATCAGCTCTGCACATCCCCTCCTCCCTCCCACAGTGTGAAAAATGCCTATTTTAGGATTGGCTTTTTGTAAATATTACAATGAATATTAGATGTGTAATGTTAGAAAGTTTTGCTGTATTAATTATCTTAAGTAGTGTGTTAAATATATTTTTAGGTTATAACACAATGTTAAAATAGAAACTGTGCTATGTAAGCTACTTTTCAACTAGCTCAAGAAAGAGATGAGATAAGCAAGAAACTCGTCACACAGAGATAACAGCAACAGGGCACAAGAAGAGTCACAGCAGAAAAGAAAAACATTCTTCCACCTTCTCTCCATCTTTATGGAGTATTAAGGGGAAGAAGTTGACAAAAACCAGAAAAGTTCTTAATTTGCAAGAATTAATTATTTTCATTATTATTTTTAATTATTAATTTATTATCATTTATGCACCATGTATGATATCTGTGAATATGCAACAGGCTGTTGCTTTTAAGGGTTATTCTTTTGTTCACAAGGCATGCTTTTGGCAGCTCAGTGCCCAAGAACATCCTGATGTCTGTAATTATTTGCTTTTTATTATCTTGTAATTGTCCTAACTCTAGATTTTTATTACTCTAATTGTATTACTATTTTTATAACCATTTTATTAGTATTAAATTTTTAAAAATTCTAAAAACAAGTGATTGGCATTTTTCACACACAGGAGGGGCGTGGAGGACATGGAGATGCCAATTTCCCAGGAGAACTCCCCAGAATTCCCTTAACCAGTGTGAAAAACGCCAATCACTCGGCTTTTAAAATTTTAAAAAATTAATAATAATAAAGACTGTAAACTCTGGGTAACCCCGCTGTAACCCCCAGTGTGACCTCTGTGTAACCCCAGTGTGACCTCCAGTGGAAACCCTGTGTAACCCTGCTGTAACCTTGGCATAACCCCGGTGTGACCTCTGTGTAACCCCGGTGTGACCTCTGGTGGAACCTCTGTGTAACCCCTGTNTAACCTTGGCATAACCCCGGTGTGACCTCTGTGTAACCCCGGTGTGACCTCTGGTGGAACCTCTGTGTAACCCCTGTGTAACCCTGCTGTAACCTCGGCATAACCCTGGTGTAACCCTGGTGTAATGGCAGTGTAACGTCTGGGTAATCCCGGTGTGACCCCCGGTGTAACCTCTGTGTAACCCCAGTATAACCCCGCTGTAACCCCGGTGTAAATCTGCTGTAACCTCTGTGTGACCCCAGTGTAACCCCGCTGTAACCCCGCTGTAACCTCTGTGTAACCCCTGTGTAACCCCGCTGTAACCCCGCTGTAACCCTGGTGTGACCCCTGCTGTAACTTCTGTGTAACCCCAGTATAACCCCGCTGTAACCCCGGTGTAACCCCTGTGTAACCCCGCTGTGACCAGGCCCCGCCGCTCCCCCGTTGCCAGGGTAACGCGTCCCCCCACTTCCGGCGCGGCGCGATGACGCCATTCCCGCGCGCCGCCGCTCCCCGCCCGCCGCCGCCGCCGGAACCGGAGCAACCGGGGCCGCCCCCGCACATGCGCAGAGCGGGCGCCCGGCGGCCCGGGCCTCGCTCCGCCCGGGCCCGGCGCCGCCATGGGCACCACGGTGAGTGCGGGGCGCGGCCCGGCGCGGCCGTGGGCGCCGCGGGGAGTGCGGGGCTCGGCCCGGCGGCCACGGGGCCCGGGCCTCGCCCTGCGGCGGCGGGAGCTCCGCCCCGGGGCGCGGCGGTGCGGCGGCGCTCGGGCACTGCCGCCGGGCCTGGAGATCCCCGTTCCCGGGGCGAGCCGCGGCCGTGCGGGGCCGCCGGGGGAGGCCAGGCCGAGCTCCCTGCCGGGGTCGGGGCGGTGTGGGAGGAGCCGGTGTTCCCGCCCCTCCCGGTGCTCCCCCCGGCTTTAGCCTTTCTTTCGCATCGTCCCGAACGTCGTGCGGCTCCTCCCGGAGCGCTCGGGGCCCGCCGGGGAGTCCCGGCAGCCCCGGCAGGTCCGGGTGGGCGCGGAGGTTTCCGCTCCTCGCTCCCCGCTTTAACGGAGAGGCAGTGAGAACGCGGAACGGGAATTTATTGGAATTTATTGGAATTTATTGGAATTTATTGGCGTTTGAACGCCCTGGTGCTGGCGGTGCCTCCAGCTGGAATCCTCGCAGCTCTGGGGTGATGCCCCCAAAAGACCCAGTTGGCCTCCAAAATTACAGAGTGGGTTTTGTCCAAACCTGCAAAATACAGATTGGAGGATAATAACAGAATCAAGTTTTGGGGTGGAAGGGACTTAAAAACTCGCCCCATCCCACCCCCTCCATGGGCAGGGACACCTTCCACTGGCCCAGGCTGCTCCAAGCCCTGTCCAGCCTGGATTTGGGCACATCCAGGGCCTGTGGAGGATTTGCTATTCCACATTCACTTTGGAAAGTCTGTGCTCCCTGCTTCGTGTTTCATGTAAAATCTGTGGCAGGAGAAGGTGACCAGAAGTTGGTTGGGATTTTCTGTCCTGGCATTGAGTAGCAGCTCCCTGGTTGTTCCCAGCATGGAATCCATACATTGCTGAGTGCTGGCTTCTTTTTAGAGTCGTCATGGGCTTAAAAATTCATGCTTGAGGAGAGGCCTCAATTGTGAGCATTTTAATGCACAAAATGAGCAAATTGGACATTATTGTGTTGTTTTTTTCTTTTAGATCAGCTCCTGTGCAGAGAGTTGTGAGTTTATGAAGCACCTCAGCAGTTTCTGTCACTCTTCCTAGAAGGTGTCACGGGAAAACTTCACTCTTTTGTTCCAAGAATTCAGTGGCATCCCAGAACGCCGGCGACCTGCTGAGTTGGATGGCAGCACCCCTAAAATGTAATAATTCAGAGTTTATTTTGTCCTCCCAATGCTCCAGTGTTGATAGTTGAGTTCATCCAAAGAGCATGAACCCACCAAAGGCTGTTTGTTCCCGTGGTGGGCGCAGCAACTGTTCAAGGGTTTGCTGGCAAACTTGGTGAAGGAAGTTGCAGGGAGAGGCTGCATTGCCAGGAATGGAATGCTCTGACTCCCCAGCATGGGATTTTTGACCTGTCTTGCTTTAGTCCTCCAAAAATATCTCTGGGAGCAAACTCTGAGCAGTTCATGTGGGAGGTGTGTGGGGTCACATGCTCCAGAGCTGGGTTGGGTTTAGGTTCAGTGTCTGAGCAATTCCTGTGCCTTGCAAAAGCCACATTTCTAGCTGGCATTTCCTGGCTCCAGACAGGAAACAGGGCAAGAGGCACCTAAAATTATGAAATTATGAGGGTGTCTGTGATGCTTGAGGAGAACCCTTGGTTTCCTAAATTCCTTAAATCATCATTTAGCCCTTACTCCTTTTTGGTAGTCCCTGATCCATGTAGAGCCAACTCTGCCTCAAATTTCTGTAAGGGCAAAAAGGATTTGGAACATGGAGCTGAGCAAGAGAAATCAGAACTGGAATTTCCATTTCCATGGAATTTGAGGCAGGAAGCAGGCAGAGACTTCCCTACTGATACACATTGAATCAGAGCAGGATTTTGATATCAAAAATCCTTTAGCTTTATCATTTGCTCTGTGGTTAGTTCTGTTAGTAATGAAACTAAAGAATTCTTGAAGTAACTCTTGAATTAATTTTAATTTTCAGAGCAGTCAGATTTTTGGTTCAACAAAGGAAGGATCTGCCTGGATCTGAACACTTGGGTGTGTGAGGGGTCTGGGGAAGTCCCCGTTGTTTTCCAGCTTTATCTGATGAGTGCATTGTCATTTCATAATTCCCGGAATTTGGCACATCAGAAGCCTGGGGTGAAGCAGAGAGCAGCTCAGAGGCTCCTGCTCATCACTCACACGACAACAATGGGTGTGTGGAAGGATGTTAAGATTATAAATCCTAAACACTGCAGAAGATCAAGATAATGTCACTTATCTCTGCAGGTCCCCAAGGGGAGAAATAAACTGGTGGGTGCCTTTGAAAGGCTGCCTGGCCTTGCCTTGCAGTGACAGTGAGAGCACAAGGCTGGCTGAGCCAGGGGAGGTGCATCCTGTGGAGTGTGAAAAACATGATTGCCTCATTGTTCTTCCAAGACCTTCCATTATTTTCAGTTTGTTTATTTGGTGAAGCTTTGCCAAGTTTGGAAATGAGCACAAATCTGGAATCCACTTGCGAAAGTACTCAGAGAACTTTTTTTTTTGTCTTTTAAAGGAAATGTGACCCCATACAAACACATACATTAATATTCCTGCTCTCACATGAATATTATCGCTCAGGTGGGTGGGCTCTTGAGGGTGGCTGTTAGATTAGGAAAGATTTATGAATTAGCCAGGATAATTTCAGACCAAACCTCTTTGCTGCATTTACACTGGATAAAGTTTATAACAGGCTGTTGCTGGCTGGGGAATTTATTTGGAACCTGGCATGGAAATTAAGTGTATTTATGTGGGGAATAAGAAACAAAGAGGCAAAACAAAGATGTTTTAAGGAAAGAAGTTGATGTTTGGGAGGCAGTTGTAAGGGAGCGCTGATATTGAAATCAGCTGGGATAAGTTGCTGTATTCAGCAGCTTCAGGAGAAGTGAAGTTTTCTATTGTCTGTGATATTTAGAGAAAGTTTCTTGTGTCAGTGTTGTTTCCCAGCACCAAACCCACTGTACCTCCCCACAGGTGTCTCCAGCACAGGGTTAGCCGTGCCAGGCCAGCTGCGTGGTACTGCCATCTGATGTGTGCCCAGTGAGCTGGGGAGGGCCTGTATTCAGCAGCTTCAGGAGAAGTGAAGCTTTCTATTGTCATTTAGAGGAAATTTCTCTTGTTGGTGTTATTTCCCAGCACCAAACCAACCTGCTCACTGTGCTCCCCGCAGGTGTGTCCCTCGGCGGCTGCCCAGCGCGGGGATAGCTGTGCCCGGCCGGCTGCGTGGCGCTGCCATCTGATGTGTGCCCAGTGAGCTGGGGTGGGCCTGTATTCAGCAGCTTCAGGAGCAGTGAAGCTTTCTATTGCCTGTGATATTTAGAGGAAATTTCTCTTGGTATTATTTCCCAGCACCAAACCAACCTGCTCATGTGCCTCCCCACAGGTGTCTCCAGCACAGGGTTAGCCGTGCCCGGCCGGCTG